GCCAGGCCACAGAGAAGCTAGAGACTGGCAGGGCCAGGAAATAAGTGTCCTCATATGTGAGACTGAGACAGAAATACCTACTTCCCTCCTGGTTTCACCAGGGGGGAAGAGGAACTAGACCCCATGCTGAATTCCAGCTCCTCGGAAGCCAACAAGAGGTTCTCAAGAGGAGAAGGATCGAGCTGAACATTTGCGAAGCACTTGGCAGATGAAAAGCATTATAGAAACACTAAGAATGATCATTTATCTGCAAGTCCCAGGTCCTTTAAAGGTGTTGATGGTACCTTTGGGAACCCAGAAGCTCAGACAGGGTATTCTGCATTATTTGCTGGTCCAATAAAAGGTGTCGCATTATCTCCCTCGTCAGCTTTGCCTTGAAGAACGACTCTGCTCCAAATGTTTTTCCAACCCGCACATACAAACAGTTTGTGGGGGAGAGGGGAGATGTTTTATGATTGCATTACTGGGCTGAAACTCTGCAGTGGTTATTTGCTTGGGGCTACCGCAGAAACCTGTATTTACCATCCCATCAGAGCACAGTACCCACTGCAACGAAGCCCGGGGAAGCACAAGGATGAGGAAGGGGAGCAAATAGGATGGGGGATATGAAAGTTACTGGTAAAAAAAACCTGATGCCCAAATAACAACACCTTCAATGCCATGGGGTTGGTTGCAGACCGGATCATCCCACAACAATTTAGTTTCACGGCATAGATCAAAACACCTGCAACACGTCACCTGCAAAGCAACAACCTGCCGAAATTCCCTTTTGCTTCCACACAGAGGTAGAGAAGGGTTTCTTTTCAATGGGATTGGCAAAGTTTACTCTTAAATTTTAAACCTGCCTGCTGCTTCCCTCGAACGCTGAACCTCAGCTTGACATAGAGAGGGGGGAAAAAAAGAAAAGCTCTTGCAGGCATTTTGACCTTAGGGATGGAATAAAAAACCCCCTGCTACATATAAATATACATATCGAGAGAGAGGGAGAGAGAAGTATACATCATCTAGAAAAACCTCCAAACCTGAGAAACAGAGTGAAAAATTTGGTGTCAGGGAGGGAAATAGAGTTGTTGATATATTTAAAGGATGGGAATTAACACACTACTCATGTGAGAAATACAGAGGAGAAGTATGACTGGGGGAGGAAAAAGAAGGAGAAAGGCGGGAGGAAGAGGGTGCCGTTACCCTAAGCCTGTCGCTGCATGGGAGGAGTGACAGGGATCAATGAAGCAGGGCAAACGGGAGGCGTCTAGACCAAGCCAAGAAGGGGCAGGAGCTGCGGCAGGATTGCAAAGCCCCCTCCAAAGTACGATATGCCCGTTTCCCTCCTGACCCCCACGGCTTCCCCCTCTCCTTACTTCCTCAACCCATTTTTCTCTCTATCCCCCTTTCCTTGCACATACGCTCCCCGCCAGCCCTCTGCCTCCTGAGACTCCAGATGGAAAATGAATTTGCAAAGCCCAGGCTCCCTTCACTCAAGCTGCTTTCTCCTTTCAACCTTGATGGGATCCTTTCCTTTCCTTTCCCCCTCCCTTCGCTCCTCTTGCAGCAACAGTTGGCGAGGGGAAGCGCGACCAGGCCCACGGCTCCCATGCCCCATGCCAGGAGGCCACGCGCAGACATCGGTCTCCGGGCTCCGAAGCCTCCGACGTGCCCCTTGGCGGGGCCGGCCCGCGCACCCGCACGCACGCATCTCCCTCTATCTCTCTGTGCATCAAAATAAGGCAGCTTAAAAAGGCCGGCGACGGATTAACGGAAAATAGAAGCAGCGCCTGCCACATGCCACGTTACGCAAGGCGCTGGCGCGAGGGGCCACGGTGTAGAAACCAAAAACAAGCGACAACAAAAAAAGATATTAAAAGAAAGAAAAAAAATCCCAAACCCCAGCCTGGCTTGGGCGTCCGGGGGCGGTAGGGGACGAGGGCAAGGGGCAGGGCAGCGGCGGCCCTCGCAAGTTGGCAGCGGGGCCGGGTGCCCGGGGTCCCGGCCGCCCGCAGCACTCACCAGAGGGCGGCTCCTCCCGCCGGCTG